GGGGGGGGGCCAGGCAGGTACCCGCGTAGCGACTGCGCCCAGGCCCTGCCTCTGAGAAACTGAAAGACGTAATTCACTCCCCAGGAAGCCCCCAGAGTGAGGAGAAGGGGGTCCCTTGGTGTGAGTGGTCCCTGCCTGGGGCTGCCACACTCACCCAGGATCCTTCCTAAGCATCAGCACCCCCTCCCCCCAAAACTGCTTATATCATTTTTACTGGGAATTTCCCAGAGTCCTGAGGCGAATGCAGACAGAGAGAAGGAGTGAAAAAGAGAGTCAGAAAAGCAGAGAGAAAGGAAACAGAGAGGTAGGCAAAGAGAGAGGAAGAGTCACGCACACAGAGGCAGACAGATGATCCCAAACACAGAGTGGGACAAACCCAGAAAGGGCCGGACAGGAAGAGAGGTAGAAAGAGAGACAGTCCTCAAATGTTGGGGCAAATATCTACCCAATGTGCCCATTTCATAGATTGGGGAACAAGGCCCAGAGAGGGTTAGTGCCTTGCTCAAGGTCACACAGGCACTGAGTAGCAGAGTCAGCCCTTGGGTGCATTGGCAGGAAGGAGGCAGGTCCCCACTTCAAGTATGCCCTGAGGAGCTTTCTGGTTCTCAGGACATCTCCCCCAGCACCAGGGCAAGAGGCTCACTGCCTAAGCCATCTCCCTACCCTCCATCTCCAGTATCCCATTTCAGGCCATTGGTCCTGATATTCCCCTGGGACTCAGCCCCCAGGGACCCAGGGTTCAGACCAGGAGGTAGCTCTCCTGAAAGTCTAATGCCCAGCTCTGTCTCCACCCTCAGGGACCCCGAGGCCGCGCACTTCATGGGCCCCAGATTCTGGTACTCCTCCCGAATCACAGCTCGAGCCCTATCTTCGGCATCAGCTTTGACCTCCGAGCTCTGCTTCCTCCAGCCCCTGAAACAGAAAGTGTGGTAATTAGAGGAGTGGCCCTTACAAGGCTGACAACTTCTCCCCAGCCCCCCATCACCTGGCCAGGCCTCATTATCTCTGTTTTGGAGGCTGCAATGGCTGCTGAGAGGTCTCCCTGTCTTCCATTTCTAAAAACTGTTCTCTCCGCCTATAGCCTAGATGGTCTTTTAAAAATGCAAGTCTGGTCATATGACTCCCAGGAGGCCTTTAGGGGATCATACAGAAACAAGAGTAAACAGACAAATCAATGGAATAAAATAGAAAGTCCAGAAAGATACCCAAATGTAAATGGAGATTTAGTCTATGGTAAAGTTGATATCACAGATTGGTGTGCAAAAGATGGGCTTTTCAGTCAATGGTGTTGGACATATAGATCAATGGAACAGAACTAAGAGTCCAGAAATAAGCCCATACATCTGTGGTTAATTGATTTTTGACAAGGATACCAAGACCATTCAATGGGGTAAGAATAGTCTTTTAGCAAATGGTGCCAGAACAACTGGATAGACACATGCAAGAGAATGAATGAACCCCTACCTCATACCATATATCAAATTTGACTCCAGATGGATCAAAGACCTAAATGTACGAGCAACCTATAACATTCTTAGAAGAAAACACAGGGGTAAATTTTCATGGCCTTGGACTAGTCAACTGTTTCTTAAATATAACATCAAAAGTTAAGCAATCAAAGGTAGATAAATTGGCCTTCATCAAAATTTAAAACTTTTGCATGTCAATAAATGGTGTTGGTACACCTGGGTGGTCATCTAGAATAGGAAATAAGATTGGATTCAAACCTCAGCATCCTAAGGATAAACTCCGAATAGATTTTAAAAAAGGAATTTAAATATAAAAGATATTAAAGTATCAGAAGAAAACATGTGATTATTTTTTTATAACTCCTTCAATGGGAAGGCCCGTTTAACTATAATGGAAAATTCAGAGGCCATATGAGAAAAGATTGATAAATTCGTCTACATAAAAATTTCTCAAAAATTCTATGTGGAAGAAAGCAAATCAGGAAAAATAATTTGCAACTCATATTGCAGAATAAACACTAATCTTTCACTATATAAAGAGTACTAGAAATAAAAAAGACCAACACCAACAGTCCCTTTGAAAAATATACAACGGATATAAACACACAGTTTAGCAGTTCACAGGAAAGTGACCACCAGTGGTCTCCACAAATATATGAAAACTTTTCATATCGCCCCTCAGCATTAAAAGTTGCTCAAAATTACTTTCAATAAAACAAATGCAAATTACTATTCTCTTATCAGATTGGCAAAAATCCACTCTGCTGTGTGGAAACAGACACTCTTATATGTCGTAAATGGGAGAATGACTTAGTACAATTCTTATGGAGAATGACTTGGCAATATCTATTAAGATAAAAATGTGTTTTTATTAGTGTATCAGTATTGATGATGGGTGAATTAACTGAGGGTCTGGGCGTAGCAGGCAGGTCGCACACCACCCATTATCCTCACAGCCATGGGAAGTGAGGTCTACTCCAGTCCACGTGAGAAGATAACATGACATTATAAAGACAGTCCTCAGTTTAGGTAGAAGACTGAGACTTAGGAAGGCCACTCCCTAGTGAGAAGGAACCTGGGTCAAACACAGTTCAGTGTGACTCAAAGTTCAAGTTAAACACGAGGTGCTACCTCAAGGTCAGTCCCGCATACAGGAAGGAGATCCAGAGCCAGCCCACCAACAGGAACAGCAGCATGAGAGGGAAGGCGAAAATGAACCAGGAGCCGAAATTCACCGCGTCGCACTGTGGGAAGAAGCTGGAGGCAAGAGGGCGGGGAGACGCAGCCAGGTCAGCCGTGCCCGGGTGTGTGCGTATGTGCAGAGAAAAACTAGAAGTATGTTAAAATGAATAGTAGGGTGAAAGGCATTTCAAAGTTTTGGGTTTTTTCTTATATTTCCTGAGAGTTCTATAATGTACCCATTACACATATAACCAGAATAAACTAATAAAATGAATTTGGGGAGCAAAGCCCAAGGAGAACACTCAGGCAGCTACTTCCCTGTCTCCCCAGGCTCCTAGCTAGAGAATCAGAACCCCATTTTACTTAGCATTCCTTCTAAATCCCCTCCTCCCAGACCAGAAGGTCCAAGCATGTGCAATTAAATGTTGCATATCATTTGCATGTGATTTGCGTGCAATTTACTCCAAATCCTCATGTTTGACATTTTTACTTACAGCTCCAGCAATTTTCCCCTAATTTCTTTGAAAGTTGGGACAAAGTTCTGCTTCTGTCAGGGTGGGCAGGCAGCCTGCAAACTCTGACAGCAACTTAGGGCCTGCCCCTGAGGCTCCCAGAACCTACACCTTTCCTGTCCAGCCCCTTCTGATTGAGGAGACTACAGGGCCAGCCCAGACTGTGCCCACATCTGAAACGGGAACCATCTAGGTTTCTGGTGTTTCAACTGCTAACCAAAAAACCTAAGTCACAGCTAGGTCTCGCTCAAAGAATGGAGATGAAGACACCAAAGGTCTGTAATGGGCTTCAATCAATTGGGAAAATACTGATGCCTGGCCCCTATCCTACACCTCCCGAATCACAGTCTCTGCAACTGAGACCCACGTGTATTTTCTCACCTCCCCCAATGACTCCAACAAGCACCTACTGCTAAGAATCACCTGTTTCTACCATCAAATCATATAATCAAGGAATTTAAGAACCTGAGAATAGTGGAGTTTTAAGGTTTTTAAAATCACCTTGTGAGGCAGAACAGGCGTACTTAAAATTTCTCATAAAAATAATTTCAATTACCAAGTATAGTACCGATTTCTGTACGCCAAACCTGCTCTCAGGAAGAGCAACACCAGCTTTCCCTCACCCTCCTAATAGGTCCCCAATTCCTTGGTTGAGTAGCAGGTCAAGAAGTTGGTCAGCATCTGGGGCCATGTTGAATATCAGAGACTTTTTACTGTTACCTGTTTGCCAAATGCTTACATTTGCATTCGTGGAGATTAAATAAACAGGCCACATCTCCACTGCACAGGAACCTAAAACCTCTCAGAATCCTAGAATCTGAAAACCTTAAATCTTGAAATATAGGAATTTGTAAAATCTTCAAACTATGAGGCTTGAAACAATGGAATCGACAAGCCGTGCTGAGAACCCTTCTCTTATGGCCATGCTGGTCTCTGAACAGTTCCAGAGATGGGCAGACTTCGCCTCCGGGCAGAACCCACTGCTCCGCTGGCCTGTGCATGGCTGCAAGGCTTCTCGCCGGACAGGACAGCCACAGACCCACGCCTCCAGTTGGGGTGTTTTCCAAGCAGATGCCACATCATGTCACTCTTCTGCTCTCGGCTTTGCACTGACTCCCCACTGGGTCCTTACAACAGTTGCCTTAGTCTGGACTCTTCTTACCTCATCTCCTCCCACAACCCCTTCACCGTTTACGCTGCAGCCTCACCAGCCCTTACACCATTTACCCTTGCACACGCTACCCCCGCTATCTGGAAGGCTCTTCCCTCCTGTGTCCACGTAGCTCACTCCCTCACTTCTAGGCCTCTGCTCAAATGTCGCCTTATTAGAGAGATCGTACATCCGTGACCGACCTATAAAATGGAACTCACTCCTGTCCCTTCTACTCCTTTATCCTGCTTTATTTTATTTCACAATTTATCACACCAACATATCCCATATCCCTTTGCTTTTTCCTTTACTGCTTGTCTGCCCGCCAGAATAAAAGTCCCCCAGAGCAGAGGCTCTGCTGGGTTTTGTGCCAGAGCCTGGCCAAGAGAAGGCACTCAAGACACACATTCCCTGGGTGTTAAATGAAGGAGGGGGAGGAGAAGGAAACTCCAGTGCCAGGTGGGGGACACGTGCTTTTACCTCTTGAGCCCGCCAAGCAGGATGAGGTTGGGGGCTGTGCCCGTGAGGGTGGCAGTACCCCCGATGCTGGCTGAGTATGGGATGGAGATGAGGAAGCCCTTCCAGATGTTTCTGCGATATTCTTCCTCCTTCACGGAGTTGTCTGGAAGATCCAATGGAGCCTCTGCCTCCTCAGGGAAGTCTTTGCTTTAAATAAACCCAAAGGGAAACCATTGAGAACACTCAGCAATCCGGGCCTCACAGGGGAATGGCTCACACATTGCTTGGAGTGCTCAAGGATCTTTGGAAAAGGTAATTTGGCACGGCATCAAAAACCTCTAAAAACGTGCAGCCCTTTAGCTCAGGTGTTCTCTTCCAACAGTTAATCCTAAAGAAATAATTGGGCAAGTGCTTCAGGTGTGGGTACTAGAGTTCACCATGGTGTTAAATAGCATTTCAATTTAAAACAACCTAAATCATCATCACA